TATATTTCAGGACATAAGATATTAACTGGTTTACTAGAATTTCTGACTTTCTCCGCTAGAAAATCACCTAGGAAATTATCCATATCCTTTGTCCAACTTAGAGTATCGTAAAAGTCATCACTCTGAGAATCTGATGTTGAGGCAGAATCCAACTCTGCCCTATCTATAGAGTCCACACTCTTGCAAATCATATTCCAAGTTTCCAGTAATTCTTGTTCTTCATTCCCGAAAATAATACATAACTCATCATAATTTTCGAATACCTTTGCTCGAAACTGCCTAGCATCAGGATGATCCTGGCAAAGGAAAAATGAGATGAAAAGGAAATAAAACTAATTTATCCAATCAAATACTCAAATGCAGAACATTCTAAAATATGTACCTTGAGATAGTCATTCCATGCCAAGTCTTCAGCAATCACCATCTTATTTTCTTTATCCCACTCAAATCCTTCACTAGCAAGGAGTTGTTTCAAAATTCCATATAATCGCTTCAGAGTTCTCAGCCTATTTTTAACATTGTCTCTAGCCAAATCAAGCCCAAACACTTGATTTATGGTTTCGACGGCAATACGATAAGACACAGCCCTAAACACACCGTCTTTTCTGTTCCCATTCTTAATTTCCTTAATAAGTGTTCTGACGAGGCATCGGTCCATTTCACTTGTCCATTGAAAATATTTCCCCTTCTCTTTCCCATCGGCCCCAGAGATCTGGTCAAGCACCTTCTTGTACACTCCTGAAATCGATAAAAACATTTGAACCGTTTGAAACTCCAATCTTGCACAAAATTTGAAACTTTTAGCTGTACACTAACCCACACAAAGGCTAAGAAGAAAAGAGAAAGCCTCTAACTATAGCCCCGGAGAAGCAAATTGCTGACTCTATGAAATGGAAGCGGATGGGTTTTCTCCCTTTTTCTCTTCAAAGAAGAAAGTGACAGCCATTGCCGCATTGCAAGCATGAGAGAAGGGAAGAGGGAGGAAGAGACAGAAGCATTACCAGGGGAAAGGCTACAGCCTCTAATGCCCACTTCAGCATTGCTCTTTGGAACTTCGTCAAATACCTTTTTGTACAACCCTGAAATCAACAGACAAGCAAGGCATAAAATAAAAAAGGGAAAAGAACCCAGAACCAATGTCAATGCTGTTACAATCCAGCTAAACCATGGAAAAATGAAGAAGGAGAGCTAAAAAAGGGAAACCAGAGTGATCCTAGCCCATAGAGAGATTCCCATTTCTCAAGGAGAACTTGGGCGAAACTTTTAAGCTCAAATAGTGCAGCCTGATCCATCCCAATTGACCATATTCGTACGGAATCATTATGCATCCGCCTAATCGGCGACCACATTGCAGACATAACAGAACAGAGGCAAATGAAATTCAACATGGTCTAATTCGTAAATAACAAGAAATCAACTGAATTAGGAAATTGAACAAAAGGGTTTCTAGCAGAATTCGCCAATCGGTTCGCTATTGAAACAATGAACGAACAAGCAAACTGTCTAGCAAGCAGGAAACCGGAGAGGAAGAGAAGAAGAGATGCCCACCAGGGGGAGGGGTATAGCTTTTAATGCCCTCTGGTGTTGTTTTGCGTTGCGCCGTCCACGGCCAGGCTGAAGCCGTCATGATGGCATCTACGGTCAATTGCGGAACGGGAAGAGGGTTTCTCGGTAGGTGGGAAGAGGGTCTTAATCCGCCGGGCCAGAATCTCTCTCCGCCGTTGGCGGACTGACCGGGATCGTATGAGAGAGAGAGAGAGTGAGGACTAGGAAGAAGTTGAAGCGACAAGTAGGATTTCTTCAGTTTTTTGGTTCCTCCTCGGGTTCGGTACGGCACAAGATTTGGGTGGGGTCTCCAGTTGATGTTTCTGGTGGGCCGTTACTCAAACTTGGGTTCACGAGTTTGGGCTTCAATGTTGGGCATGGAAAATGAGTGATCTGGTAGGAGCTGACAGTTGCATATAAGACAAAAGTGGTATGAAGAGTGGCTAATAGTCTAATAGTGAAACAAAAAGGTAAAGTTAGTGATCGTAAATAGGGTTAATACCTTAGTTTGGCCCGAACTATACACATACTTTCTACTTTGGCCCGAATTATTGAATATTGCTACTATGGCCTGAACTATGTAGCAAACTTCCTCATTTGGCCTGGAGGCGCGTTTGACCGTCAAAACAGACGGTCAACCAAGTTGACCGTTAGTCAATATACACATCAGCTGCCACGTATACATTAAAAATTATATATTTTTTTACAAAAAATAAAAAATAAATTAATAACTCTAAAAAAAAAAGGAACGGAAAATAAAAGAAAAAAAATTAAATTAAATTAAAAAAAACCCACAGCCACCCATCCCTATCTTCCCGCATCGATTCTTATCGGGAATTACCTCCCCCCTTTCAGACCCATCGTCTACCCCCAACTCCCTTCCCCGACGAATTCTCGGCGATTCTCGAAGATTCTCCGGCAAATGCAGCGGCGGCCGGTCGGTGAAAGACGCCGCCGTCGCTGATTCCGCCATCCAAATACACCACCTGACCAGGCCTATCCTTCTTTGTATCATACCAAACGAGCATTCCCCCATCCAAATACAGCAGAACTTCATCGCCATTGACGGACAGATCCAGAGCCACCGGCAACGACGACAAATCCAGATACCCCAATTCCCGAATCGAGAACAGCTTGCTCCACGCCGCCTCCACACCGTACTGATCTCTCCTCATCATCCAGACATGAACAACCTTCTTCCCCAGCTCATCATCACGATCCGCTGCGCGATTGCACACGCACAAGCGATTCCTCAATCCCACGAAGTTCAAGGCGACCTCGTGACCAAAACCCGAGCGAGGCAGGGGAATTCCCCGCCACTGATTCGCCCCGAGATGGTACGCGACAATGATCGAATTCTCACCGTACCTGCGGAACGGCCAATGTAAGGAATCGCCTACCGAAACCCCTGACCTCTGCTCAATCATCCCGCAAAAGGGTATCTCTTCTGCCCGCAAGGTGTTCGACGAAATGCCGAAGCAGAACACCACCGATTTACACCTCGCGTGGGACTCGTCCCCCGTGATGTACACCCTGGCGAGCTTGTAATCCTTAATCCCCGGATCGTACCCGAATCCGTACGCGAATGGCTGCACCACGCCGTCGCCTGGCCGCCGGGTTCGTGGAATCGGGCCATGAACCCTTGGGGCAGGGGAGCCTGCAGGGTGGAGTGGTGCTTTCGGGTCGCCGGGTTGAGCAGGTAGACCCGGTTGGTGCCCGTGTAGCCGAGGCAGACCAGCCCGTGGCAGGAGCCAAGGAGGGTGATGCCGCCGTCGGAACGCCATTGACGGAGTCCGGCGAATCAGCGATGGGTCTGAAAGGGGGAGGTAATTCCCGATAAGAATCGATGCGGGAAGATAGGGATGGGTGGCTGTGGGTTTTTTTTAATTTTATTTTATTTTTTTCTTTTATTTTCCGTTCCTTTTTTTTAGAGTTATTAATTTATTTTTTATTTTTTGTAAAAAAAATAATATAATTTTTAATGTATACGTGGCAGCTGATGTGTATATTGACTAACGGTCAACTTGGTTGACCGTCTGTTTTGACGGTCAAACGCGCCTCCAGGCCAAATGAGGAAGTTTGCTACATAGTTCAGGCCATAGTAGCAATATTCAATAATTCGGGGCAAAGTAGAAAGTATGTGTATAGTTCGGGCCAAACTAAGGTATTAACCCTCGTAAATACTATGATAATTTTTTAGTGATAAATGTGAAACAAAACAGTAAATCTAAAGATCAAACGTGTCATTTAGTCATGGATAAAGTATTGTAGGAAGCACCTGTCAAGATTAGGGTGGTCAATGGGTTGGTCCATACCGCACCACATTGGATCAAATCGATGTTTGGACCGGATCACACCAAATCAAATCTAATATAGTCCAATCCTTGGTCCCATGAATTTCATAGATACTGAAGAAAAATTGACCGAATTGACATTTGAACCGGACCAAACAGATCGAATGCACCATTGGTCCAGTCCTTGGTCCTAGGATATTTTTCACTATTGGACCGTAGTTCTCCTGAGTTTGGTCCGTCTGGATCGGACCAGACCGATGTCTACCCCTAGTCAAGATGGATTAAAGGTGGACCAAGGATCTAGAGGTAGCCACTGGCCAGTGGTGAAACAAGGTTGAAGTTGGGAGATGTTGTAGTCTCACTCCAATTTTGAAATATATATAATATTACATGTAAAATTTGCAAAATGTTTGAAATTATAATAATCTGTAAAGCTTTAGCCCTCCTCTCTCAATTACAATAATTCAAGTCAGCCCCCTCCATCGTTCGGATTGTTGGCTTCGCCATTGGTGGTGGTCATGGTTGTCACGCCGGCCGGCGTGCCATTGGTTGAACCTGGTTCAACCGATACCGGTCATAAAACCGGCGTGACATCCTCAGTATGACCGACATGATCGATATATGAATCTCTAAATAAAATTACCTTATTTTAGTAAATTTAATTGATAAAAATTATTTTATTATTTATTTTATGAGTATAAAAGTTAAATATTGATGTTATTTGTTGGATTCAAGTATAAATGTTTAGGTATTGACGTTAAATGTCATGTTTAAATATGAGTATTTATAATTTTATTTGTAATATTGACCGACATGCACAGGCACAAACCGGTATGTGCCACCGGTCGAACCATTCCACTTGCTAAACCGGCACACTAGCATAAACCGGTTTGACAACCTTGGTGGTGGTTGACGTGGAATCGAATTCCGTGGATAGAAGAGGAGGCAAGGAAGAAATACATGGTTTATTTATTATATTTCTCTTTATTGTATTAAATTTTCTTCAATTTTTTAAAGTTAGTAAAAAAACAATCAGTGTTGTGAAACTGTACCGTGCAGGTGATACAACCAAAAAATTTCATTTCAGAGTCAAAATCGATACTCGGTTTTAGCGCTAAGAATCGGTTAAACCACGTTTATACCACAATGTGAGCACAAAATGTCCTACGACTAACTTTTTTCGGTACAACCTTCAGTACAGGTTTACAATTATTGAAAAAAATATAGCAACAAATTTTCATGCTTAGGTGGATGACACATTTGGCATCATCATCATCATCATGAAAACTAACGATACTCTAACCTTCATTAAGTCAAATATCAACTCTAAACAGCCAGCACAAAATTTAGGAACACAAATGACACGAAACCTTATAATCTAAGAACATTTCAATCCTTTTTCCAAAAGTTACGCACTAGAAGAAATGACACATCCAGGAGACAATCCGTCAATCCCCACGTTCTCACAAGCAACAACGCCAGTCATTTGATAAATCAGTACCGACAAATCTAGGTGAGGAACCATCTAGAAATCAAAGTCACAACTCCTAATTTATAAGATAACAAACACAACTAACAACAGTACTGAACAGTGACTAGTGATTAATTTATGGAATTAATCACTAACACATGAAGCGGATGGCTGAATTGGATCAGAAGACGTGGTGGTGGTGGCCGCCCTGGTGGCCGGGGTTCCTCAGGATGGTGACGTGCAGCAACGGACGGCGACAGTAGTGATGACGAGCAGAGTCAAAGAGCTGGAAGAAGCAGACGTCACCGATCCTGAGGTTATTGTCCCTGGCGAAACTGGTCCATCCGCCCGTGATCCTGGTGTTCTTCCGCTTCCGCTCCTCGCCGCCGAGCTTCGTCAGCTTCATCTCCCACACTTTCTCCCCGACCTTCAGCCCCACGCGCTCGCTCTCCTTCATGTACCTCTCGGAAAACTCCCGCGGTATGTACTGCAGCCGCATTTAATCTACATTGAGAACCCAAAAAAAAAAAAAACAGAGTGGTGTGGTGATTGGAACAGAGTACTAATTAATTAATTAATTACCGCCTGACGGAGGCTGATGTAAGTCTCGGTCATGGTGGCGGTGAACGACGGAGGCACGCCGATCGAGGCGTCGTTGGAGGATGGTGGCCTGCCGCAGCTCGGATACGAAGAGGGCTCGCCGCGGTGCCGTTGAGAAGACGACGCTGCTGCAGTTTGCTTCTTCTTGTTTTTGTTGTTCTTCTTCTTTCTTCCGGTTGAGTTGCTCCAGCTCGTGCCCTCGAACTCATCATCCCCTGCGTCACCATTTCAATTCGATCTCGTGACTCTAATGTTAGAAATTTGTGTATTAAATTGTAATTAACCAATTCCGTTCTTCATGATCGCACGAAACATATTGAAGTTCATTTGCATTATATCAGACAATTGGTTTCAGAAGGTCAAGTGGAGTTATCGTACATTATCGTCGGAAGAGCAGACTGTTGATTTGTTGACAGAGACTGTGGCCACTGCTCGTCAATGGTTTCTAGCTTACAAATTGATGCTGCGAAAGCTTCGTCAATTTGAGGGAGGCTGTTAGAAGTTTGGGTATTAGATTGTAATTAACCATCCCGTTAGTTAGGTTAATTACAATCTTCTGCAGGCTTAGGGTTAGTAGGCGGCTATATATATGTTCTTTATGTCGTCTGTAAACCTTAAGCAATTCTGGCTCTACATAATACGATTGACTTCGAAAGGTTGGTCCTCTCCGTGGATTAGTCTCAACGATTCTCGTTGGGGATACCACGTTAAATTCCGTGTTTGTTATTATTTCTGTAGCGTTGTTTGACATCTAATTCATTCAATTCTCATACTATGGAACCAAGCTAGAGGGAAAAAAAAACAGAAATGAACCTACCTTCAGAGCTCTCCTCAGAGTAGTCGTAATCACTGTCCTCATCCTCCTCGTCATCATCACCACCGGGACCACCGTCCTCAAAACTGCTGCTAACATCCTCCTCCGGCAGGTCGGAAAACAGATCCTCCTCATCCTTCCCGTCACCGCCGGAACTCCGCGAAGCAGCCGTCGAATCGGAAGGATACCGGATCTCCACGGCCGTGTTTCCGTAAACCCTCACGGAGAACTGAAACTCCCCGCGGTGCTTGAAAAGCAGGAGGCAGCCGTGCTCCAGAGAGCAGTACTCCGCGAAACTCGCGAACCCATTCCGCAGCCAAACTCCGCCGCCGTCGTCGACCGCAACAACAACCTCCATATCCCACGCCGTGCCGTTGGGGAGGCCGAGCGTGGCTTGCTTTGGCGGATCGCGGCCCGTCTCCTGCTTCAGTATCGAAGTGAACTTCTTTGGCAGCATCTGCGCGCAGATTATTCCGCGACACACACTTTCTAAGTTCGAACTTTGAGGCCAACAACATAAATAAGAAGAAAGGAAATCACCGCGCTGAGTGTGTTTACATAATTAATTAATTAATTACCAGCTTTTTGTCGCGGAGGGTGTCGTGAACGATGACCTTGAAGAAGCGGGGCGATACGCTGCTCATGTGGCCGTCGTGACGATGGAGATCTGCGTAGTCGTCGTCGTCGTCGCGGATGGAGGAGCTCATGGTGATGAATTACAGAGCTCTGTAGCTGGTGTGTTAATGTGAATTCTTCTCTGCCTGTGGGTTGTTGTTTCTTGTGAGTTGTGAAGAAGAAGGAGGAGGAGGAGGAGTAAAAGGGAGTGACGAAAGAAGGGTATTTTTGGATTAAAGGCAATGAAAAGCTACTGGTTTGTGTAAGTAGCCGTAAGAGGCAAAAGGGAATGGGACGGCCATGTGCGCCATGGCAGGAGCAGAGTTATTGGGGTTTTTTTTCAATTCCTGAAATGGTTGTTTGAAGCAAGGAGAAAGCTTTCATTTATTTTCATCTTGCACAAATTTGGCCGGGAGGTGATAATAATGGGTCTCACCACTGACCAGTACGATGATATGATGACAATGGGGAATGCAGAGGAGTAACGTTTCAATGGGCTAGAAAATTGTTTAGGTAGGAACTCTTTGTTTGATGGTAATTAAGGTTTGGTTGCATCTCAATATCTCTCAATTCGAAATTTCAGGATTTGAATTAATGCCATGATTTTTTTGAATTGCATTGATTTATCATAAAGATATTATTATAATTGGAATTTGGTTATTTGCCGTGTATGAAGATCATGGTTCAAAAAGGCACGTTTAACCTTACGATTAGGCACGCTTAGGTGCAAGGCAATGGCAAAACGCCTCGCCTAGGGGTTTCGCGCCTAATTAGATACTGAAACATGTCAATGAAGTAAGGCGACATATAAGTCTCTCCTAAACATTACTAGATGGAGCTAGGAAATCAATATTAAAGGAGAAAATTAACGTCAACTACGAATTTAATTTTTATATCAATATTTTCAATAGTTCAAGAACTTTGTGAACTATTGAGCTATGATTCTATGAATTCGTGAACTATGTTCTTGTCATTAAGCGTTGAGTAAGTTATTAACCATTTTAACTGAGGTGAGAAAGTGTTGGAGATTATTATTTCATTCATCATGTAATGTGAATAGCTATTTTTCTTCCAACGCCTAGGCACCCAAGGCCCTGTTCACTCCCATTTTCGTTTTCTGTTTTCTGTTTTCATGTCATAAATTTGGCAACCGAAACGAGAAAACTTGTTTACTTTTCATTATGTTTTCTATTCGTTTCCAACTATGAAAACATAAAGTGACAACTTCCTGCTGTTTTCGGAGATGACAAAATGTTGTTTTCACATGTTTTCAACATCCGTTTTCTCAAAAACAGGAAACAAATATAAAAGTAAACAGGCCCTAGTCTACGCCTAGGCATGCTAAGCACTAAGCGATGTCTCAACGTCCGCCTTACGCCTAGCGCCTTTTTGAACCTTGATGAAGATCCCTGTTAAGCATTAATAGCAGAAGCCTGAAAGCCACAAATTAATTCATGCATTATCGAGATCATTCACGTGTCTTTTTTTATTGTTCAAGTAATTCGGTGTTCATTCATATATGAGTTTTGATTATTCCTGTTGACACCTAAAATTAATTTGGCCTGAATTAAATGCCGCATTAATTAGTCTCGGCATTTAATTCGATATCGCGGGTAAAAAACGGTGTCGTTTGGAGTCGAGCGGTATCGCGGGAAGTTAAAACGATACCGCGAAACAGGAAAACGGTACCGCAAGGAAGCTCACCGGTATCGCGGCACTAGAAACGACACTGTTTACCAGAAAACAGGATGTGGGCCGCGCGTGTAGTATTGGTGTTGGAAAAGGAGTATTTTATTTTATTTATTCCTTGTCGGAAGGGGAGAAGCGATATCGCGTGGAGTCGAACGGTGTCGCGGAGAGTTAAAATGATACCGCGAAACAGAAAAGCGGTACCGCAAGCAAGTTCAGCGGTACCGCGACACAGAAAACGACACCGCCGGAAAATAAGAAGGGGCCGCGTGTTTAGTGTGGGTATTGGAGAAGGAATTTTCTCTAATTAATAATTATTATTTTTATTCCTTGTTGGATGGGGAGAAGCGGCACCGCGGAGAGCTAAAACGGTGTCGCGGAATTAAAAACGGTACCGCTATACTAGCAAACGACAGTGGTTAAAATATAAAACAATGTCTTGGAGTGAAAAAGCAAACAGAGTTGTTTGGGAAAGGAAACGACATCGCGGGATCATGAAAACAACTCACGTAAAGTTCACGCGAAGCAGTTTGAGGAATCAAGGCAGTCGAGACACGTGGGATTTCAGGACGAAGCAGTTGACACGGAGTTGCGTGAAGACTACGAAGCAGTTTTTCGAATAAAAGCAGTGGAACAAGGAGAGAGAAAGGACAACCAAAAATCAACACAGAAACACATCTGTCAAAATTTACCTTTTTTCTTTGTAACTCCCTTGCGGAGCTCTCCTTCCAGGAAGGATCTCCATAGTCGTAGCAGTAGTCGTAGTCGCGGAGCTCTCCACAGGAATCTCCATAGGAGTAGTTTTAACGTAGATTCCCCAAAAACTCAAACACCCTCGTTCGAACATTGTTTGGAGAGGTGTGAACCGAGTAACGATCGTCTTGGTTAGAAGTCAAAGGTGCATCGATCAGATCAACATCGCCCGACGGTGGATATTTGACGGTCACGTTGATTTCAACAGTCGGTGGTGCGTCGATCAAATTAACGATGCCAACATTCGGCGGCGGATATTTGACGGTCACGTTGGTTTCAGCATTCCGCGGTGAGTCCGATCAAACGGCACCGCAAGAGTTTCCATCGCGAAACATCGAATCAACATCGTCGGAAACGAATTCGACACCGGCGATGGTATTTGGTATTTTCGGAAAACAATTCCCACAAATGAAATTCCATTTTTTTCTAATAATTTTGTACTCGCCATATTTTATGGAATAAAATTTTGGATTTTCAGTTTTTTTTTAAACTTGATTTGCATTTTTATAATAATTTACACAATGACATCCAATTTGATTTATTCCAAAATGTTTACAACCACATTAATAAATAACAATATATGTAACTAAACATTGCGTAAGTAATCATAAGTATTTGTGTGAATAACCAATACTATTACTGTTGGGGGTGTTGCTAAGTGGCTCCCCGCAGAGACTAAGGAATACCGCGTCCAATCGACAACGTATGACGATCTAAACCCGCTACGAGTATATAAAGGTATGAAACCCACCAAGGAATGGGGACTCCTCCTCTCTCCTCACTTTACACTTTTCACTATCTCTCTACACCTTATCTCTCTACCTTATTCTCTCAACTCTCTCCACAAATATACACTAACTTGATCGTCGGAGCTTAATCCGGGGGGCAACCCCGGCTCTTTCACAGGCGTCTCTCCCTCCCGACGAGATCGGACGAACGGACGACGAGTCAACCCACACCAACAAATATCATTGTTCGTGTCCTGAGCTAGTAGGTTCAAACAGACGAGGAGGGCTCCAAACTGAGGGTTAAAAACCCCGACGAGGAGCCACAAATAAGTCTCAACGAAGCACACAAATAAGACTTCAATAAGAGCATCGAAGACTCCAAACTGAGGGTTAAAAACCCCGACGAGGAGGGCTCCAAACTAAGGGTTAAAAACCCCGACGAGGAGCCACAAATAAGTCTCAACGAAGCACACAAATAAGACTTCAATAAGAGCATCGAAGACTCCAAACTGAGGGTTAAAAACCCCGACGAGGAGGGCTCCAAACTGAGTGTTAAAAACCCCGACGAGGAGCCACAAATAAGTCTCAACGAAGCACACAAATAAGACTTCAATAAGAGCATCGAAGACTCAAAACTGAGGGTTAAAAACCCCGACGAGGAGCCACGAATAAGTCTCAACGAAGCACACAAATAAGACTTCAATAAGAGCATCGAAGACTCCAAACTGAGGGCTAAAAACCCCGACGAGGAGAAATCCAAACTGAGGGCCCACGCCCGGAGGGCCCAACTCGCGGATCGGCCCCCAAAGTCGCATCCCCGGCCCGCTCCGTTTAAGTGATGCAGGCCCGCCCAAGCCCAACAGACGAGGAGCTCGTCAAAAATATTACTGCCGCCGCCAGGAGTTGAACTCGCGTCCTTCCCCCGCCAGACAAACATGTTTACCCGTAGGCTACACACGCAAGTTGATATCCTTTGGCGCAGCATTCTCAATTTAACAACACTCCGCATGCAACCTCAAACAGAACACGCTCAGGCCTCCTGCGCGTGCAAAGCCGACCCAAACTTCCACTAGCGGCCCATCTTACCTCTCGCGGCCCAAGATTCCGGACCACCTCGCGCGCCGCTTCTGAACCACCTCGCGCGCCGCCTTACATGGGCCAACAAACCCAAACTCGCGGCCCGCGCCGCCTCTGGACCACCAGGCACGCAACTCTTCAAAAATAATGGCGTCGCTGCCAATACTCAAACCCGCGCCACTTTTCCGCGAGATAAGCAACATTACCTGCAGGCTACCACCCAGGTTCTGTTTCAATGGCGCAGCGCCTGCCGTTCAACTACTCCTGCCGCCACTGCCAATATAAAGCTAAGTACTCTATCCCTCCATCATTATTAAATTTTTAAAATATTTTACTATCCTAAGCGTTAATGGCGCTAATGGGGGGCAAGACGCAAGAAGCTGGCACCGCGTCACTCAAACGCGCCACCAGCTGGGGGGCAACTGGGGTACATAGGCCCCACCCAAAATTACCGACAAAGATTTAAAAAATAAAATATAAGCTAGTGATGAGTTAAAACTCACCACCAGCTTGGGGGGCGATTGTTGGGGGTGTTGCTAAGTGGCTCCCCGCAGAGACTAAGGAATACCGCGTCCAATCGACAACGTATGACGATCTAAACCCGCTACGAGTATATAAAGGTATGAAACCCACCAAGGAATGGAGACTCCTCCTCTCTCCTCACTTTACACTTTTCACTATCTCTCTACACCTTATCTCTCTACCTTATTCTCTCAACTCTCTCCACAAACATACACTAACTTGATCGTCGGAGCTTAATCCGGGGGGCAACCCCGGCTCTTTCACAGGCGTCTCTCCCTCCCGACGAGATCGGACGAACGGACGACGAGTCAACCCACACCAACAAATATCATTGTTCGTGTCCTGAGCTAGTAGGTTCAAACAATTACCTTAATAAACAGAAATAGAGTGTAAATTATCACAAATTTATACGAATAAGCACAAAGATGCGTAAATAATTGCCACAAAACCTTTCCCTTTGTTTAAAACGTCACTAAAGAAAATTCAAGTAGACATATATAGTGACAGCGCGTTAGCTCAAAGACCTAGTAAATATACAGTGACAGTGACTGAGTTAAACAA